TGAACAGATGATTAAATGAGTCAGTTGTCCAACTCTATTGTTCAAAATTCTTTCAAACAGTTTCATGAAGTTCTTGTAATCTCTAATAGTGGAGTTTTGGTATTTTCTAGTGTTCATAATTTGTTATAAGTAATGTACTACTGAACACACATTTCACTTATTTCAAAGTTAAAGGTAGAATATAAAAAGACCAAACTCTATTAAAAAAAAGATTACATTTGAGGTTAACTTATTATTTTACCATTCCTGTAAAATACTGACAGTCTGTGTTACTTTGTCAACTTAATTTTATATAGTTTTCTCATAACTTGTAAATGTATTATACATTAATTTATTGTAGTGTGGTGCATTATGTTAAAAATCAGTCATAAACTTTACTTATACTACATACATATAATACTTTTTTTATTGAGAACTATTAGAGACTGTTATTATTTTGCATCATAACAACTACAGTAGATAAAGCCCATGCACAACAGAATAAAATATTATGGTTATCATTCAATTATGTCTGTGGTTTCAGGATTGGTTCATATTCATACACATTCGTGCTCTTATGTGGATATTAGTTTCACTGCCAAGCTAGAACATATATATTCTGGTCTACTTAGAAATGAGGAAAAGCTCTCAGAAGTAATTGCCAAGTGTTAATGTCCAAGAACCTGTCTTTCTGATCAAACACTGAAATACTATGGTTGTTCAAGAGTATCATTTAACAATTCAACTAATTTATTATCTCTTCTTCACTTATTTGAAGTAGTTTCAACTCATTTGTCATCATCAAATGAGCACATTTAACCATCTCTTTCATCATGTGATGATGATTAATTGAAAAATCTAATGTGTGATGAGTATATAAATACATATTACCTGGAACCCTTATCAGTATACACTAGAGATGGGCAATTAACTCAACCAACAGCATTACATAAAATTATTAATTAATCAAAATTACTATTAAATTAATTAATGTATTAAAAATAATCAACTACTTTAAATTAGTGTTTGTAATTATTACTCTTTTCAATTATTCCAACTAAGTAACTGAAATATTGTCATTATGGTTTCCCTACTATTTTTGATTAATTCAAGTTTGTTTTGCTTAACTTTTTGGTTTCACAACTCAAGAAAATAATCAACTAATTGAAATCAATGTTTCCAACTATTTTTTTGTCAATTATTTCACAATCCAAGTAATTAAAATTTCGACATGGTCCATGATTAGATGATTGTGTCATGATTCGATTCCAATTGCCACCAAATGCTTTCTCTTTCAACAACAGGGGGGTTACATTTGTTTCTTTGTTTGTGAGTTATGGTGAAACTACTAAAACTATCTGCTACTGTCCCTAATTCTGAACTGCTGATCAGTAGGAAGGTAAGTGATGGGCAACAACTACCACCAACTGTTAAATTACTTTTATACCAACAAATAGGACTGACTATCAATTATGAAACATATGCTGGAAAAGTTTCTGCTGTGAAGGGTAAATTTCCCTTATGTATCATTTATGTTAAGTATAATGTTATAGAATTTTTTTCCAGCTATACCATATTATGGACATTAAAAATTATGAAACTGCCAGTATAAAAATCTAAGGCTGGAGAATGATAAAACAGATGTTAATTTCTGGTTACAAAGAACAGACATCATAGAATTCATGGGTGCATGAGATATTTATTCATGAAGAATTAAGCAGTATTCCCCATCTTGAACGGTTGATAGATGGAAACAAGATCAAACTAGATGACTGCATTAATTCTGAGCTTGTTAAGAAAAAATTGGGAAGTTTAAAAAATGATAAGGCTCCTGAGCCAGATAATATTTCCCCAAGGGTTTTAAAGGAGGTTAAAGACTGGATATGTGTGCCACTTACTACTATTTTTTGTCAGTCCTTGAATAGTGGGCAGGTACCTGAGGATTGGAAGTTAGCTAATGTAATTTCTCTTTTCAAGGGAGGTGATAAAAATTGTCCCAGTAATTGTAGACCCATTAGTCTTTCATCAGTTGTGGGGAAAATTTTGGAAAGTCTGAAAAAATGCTTTGCAAAGTCATTTAACAAAGTTTTTAGAACTTTATTGGAATCAACATGGTTTCACTAAAGGAAAATCTTGCCTTATAGATCTTTTGACATTCTTTGAAAAGGTTACTGTTTATGTAGATGAGGGTAAGGGTGTAGATTTAGTGAATCTGGATTTTTCAGAAAGCATTTGACAAGGTGCCACATAAAAGGCTTGTAAAAAAATTAGCTATATAGGTGTGGGGTATAAGTTAGCAAACTGGATAGAAGAGTGG